CACTGTCCTCCCAGGCTGGCCCTGGAGCCCAGAGCCCTGGCACCCGGATGGGCTTTGCTTTTCCACGTCCCTCTACCTGCCCCAGAGGGACGGACGGGCAAAACGCCCCTCGGCCCCCCACCGCCAGCGGCGCCCTGCTGGGAGCGTGCGAAAGCCAGGTGCAGGGAGGCAGTCGCCTGCCCAGGCCTGCACGGGCCGCCGACGCAGAGCCCGTGGGCCGGACCCAGCCGGCGCTGCCTCCCTCGCCTCTGCCCCGGCCCGGGAGCCCGGCCTGTGCGCGCCGCTGCGGCTGCGTCCACGTCTCTGCTCCCAACAGACCTCTGCCCGCTTTGTCCCCTCGGCCCTCATGGGGTCGTTCCGCCTGCAGGTGTGGACACTGAAGCCCACGAGACCCGGCCCGGGGGGGCAGGGCAGCCCTCGCTCTCAGGACGGGGGAGCCGGGCGGGACCCGCCGGGCAGGGGAGGAGGAGGAAGGGAGGAGGCCAGAGGGCCGAGGCTGTGTGAGTAGACGTGGGCTGGGTCTGGCGGCGGCCTCTGTCCCGGGGTCTCCCGGGCCCACAGGTCAGGGCAGACCAGAGCTGAAGCAGCCCCACTGCGGCTGGGGACGGAGGGGCTGGGCCCAGGCCTGGGGGCCAAGGGGGGTTGAGGTGTCCTGGGACCATGTCACACCTGCCTGGCACACGCGGCGATGGCTCCTTTGCGCGTGTGAAGCCATGGGGCTCCCATAGGGCAAACGTGCTCGAGGGGCAAGAGGCAAGGCTGTGCCCGCTGGGCGGCAGAGGAGACAGGACCTGTCGAGACCATTAAGGCCGGACAGGCAGCTCTCCCCTCGGGGCTCATCCGGAGGCCCTGCTAGGAGGGGTGCACGGGGTGGGGTGCAGAGGTGGGTGGGGAGCAAGGCAGTCCCCCTTCTGGCTGCATCCTGTGGGGCAGGGGCGGTGGGCTGGGCCCTCCCTGTGTGACCAGGAGCCGGTTCAGCCCCGTCCGGAGCAAAAATGCCCAGCACCAGGCTGCTTTGCTTTCTGCTCCCGCCAGCCCAGGGCGGAGCGCCAGGCGTGGGGAGGTGGGGGGCGAGTGAGGATCAGGCCGGCGTCCCCAGGCCCCAGCTGGCAGAGTGAGAAGGACCCGGGCAGGCGTGCATCCGCCGCCCTCCCGGTTTTACAGAGTGGGTCAGGGGTGAGAGACAGAGGCCCGGGGGGCTGGGACTGACCAGGCCTGGCAGCGGCTGGTGTCCAGGTCCGCCCGGCTCCCGGCTCCCGGCTCCCGGGGATCTGCTCTCCCAGGCCCCCCTCGCTGCTTCCAGCAAGAGCCCAGGAGCGATCTGCGCTGGCCCTGGGGACAGCAGGGTGCCTGGCCCTTGCCAGAGGGGCTCTCGGTCCCCAGGGGCGGCAGCCGGGGACTCTGTTTTGGGGCCCCTCACAGCCCAGGCCTTAAACAGAGGAGAACAGGAGGTCTCGCTGTCCCCGCTACTCCGCCCTGTTTCAGGGAGCAGCTGAGCAAGGTGCCGGGCAGGGCTGTCTTGCCAAATCTAGGTACAAGGTAACAATGATAACGGGAGCCGTTCTCCCAACAGTCCCCTAAACGGGCTGCTGAGGCGGGAGGTGGCTCTGAGTCACCTCCGTGCCGCTTCCTGGTCCCCAGCCCCTAACGCATCATTTCGCCAGAGACCAGAGTCCGGACCCAGCAGCCCGGGGGTGACAAGGGGCTGGCCTCTGTCCGAGCCCCACCGTCCCACCTCAGGTGAGCCCTGCTGGCCCTTTAAGAAGCCAGAGGCTAGTGCTGGCCCGGGCAGGAGCCGGGCACGTTCCGGATCCTTCTGGAAGGCTGAGCTGGAGAGGAGACAAAATGTTCTCGCACAGCTCGGTAAACAAGCCCAAAGTGTTTTGAAAGCTTCTGCCGATATAAAGGACTGCACGACAAATGCAGGAATTGCAAAACGAGGCTCCCAGCTGCCAGGGAGGGGGTGGCAGGCCGGCGGGGCACGAGGCGGCCCCCTGCCCGGCTCTGGGCGGAGCTGCAGCGGGGCGCGCACACCCGCGAGCTGTGCCAGGGCCCGCGTGGACGGACTCTGCGTGTGCGTGTGTGTGCACACACGTGTGCCATGGGAGTGCCCCAGGCCTGCCTGTGTGACCGCAGGGGGTGCCTGTGCAGACACGGGGCTCCCATGCGTGGATATGGCAGCTCCCCGCCTCGCCCGCTCTTCCCGCAGGGCTGCCGAGCACCCCGGGTGGGGAGGGGCCGGAGCCGGCTCCCCAGGGCGGATGAAGGGTCAGCGGGGCGTGGGGGCCTCTCTGCGGAGCCAGGGAGCGGCGGGCGCCAGCCGGGACCTTGCCACAGGGCCGGCCTCTTGGCACACCCGGGACGGTTTCAAGACAATGCAGATGCCAAGCCCCCCTTGGTGACGGGGGCTCCGCCCCGCTCTGAGGCTCTTTCGCCGTCTGCAGGGTGGGCAGAACATGTGTCCCTCCCGGAGCCCCTGTGGCAGGGCAAGGGGCCATCTCGGAAGAGCCTGGCTGGGTCTGGGGCCTGCTCGCAACCTCGAGGGGGGCGATAGGTGCACCCTCCAAGGAAGCCCAGAGCCGCAGGAGGTGGCTGCCATTGCCTCTCGAGTCCCCTGGCCCCACCCCACCACGTGAGCCCCCATGCACGGTGACCTGGGGTGGGGGGGCAACATGCCACACGGGGGCCCAGCCCTGGCCCCGGGACATGCCCGGGCAGTCGGGCAGTGCCGAGCTGTGGGGACAGACCACGGGACCACGGCAGGGCACCAGGCCCGCCCGGGGGGCGGGGAGGACGGGAAGGGCCCCAGAGAGAGGCGAGAAGGTGGGGAGGCCGGCCGACCAGGACTGGGACTGCAGCGGCACCAGGCACACAGCGGGTGCTCAATCAGTGCTCCCCGGGTGCCTGAGCGAACCCTTTGAGGGGAAGACTGAACCCAGAAGAGGTGCCCCACGGGCACGGGGGCAAGCGGCAGGGTGGGTGTCCCGTGCTGCACGACCCAGCTAGGCCTGTGGCCCCGGTGCGTGGGCCGGGCGCGAACCTGGCAGGGCTCCCCCCGGCGGCCTGCTGCCGCCACGTGCTGCAGACAGACAGCCCCCGGAGTCCCGGCTCGTAACCAGGGTCGATTGTGTCCTCGGAGCTGGTGGGAAGCCAGGCAGCGCAGAACGGCCGATTCCCTGGATCCCAGCCCGGACCGGCAGGGACGGCCCCCGGGAGGCCGCGAGCATCTCGCTTGCTGGCCGCAGCGGGAGGCGGCCCGGCCAGAGGCCCGCGGGGGAGGCGGGTGCAGGGAGCTCGCCGCAGGGGCAGCCAATGCCAGGGCTGCCAGGCCGTCCACCCCTCGGGCTCCCCGGCGGGGGGGGCCTCTGCTCCCTGCGAGCCAGGACCACTCAGACCCCACGGGCCGGACGCATCCGCTTCCCAAAGTGCCAGTGGAGGGAGGACACCGCCGCTGGGCTCCAGCAGCCCCGCCCCATGCAGAGCAGAAAAGTCCCGGGATGGGGCTGGGGCACGTGCCCTGAGCTGACTGCGAGTGACAGGACTGCAGCCAGGACGCCGTGTCCTGGGCCGGGCACTGGCCCTGGCCCGAGGGGTCTGCCGACGCCGGGTCCCCCTGGCCCAGGAAAGCGACAAGGCCCCAAGCGTCGTCCCAGCCAGGGGTCAGGCGCAGGCCCAGGGTGAAGGGAGCGACCCGGCCAGGCCACCAAGACAGCGGCGGGGCCGGTCTCCCCACAGCTGGGCGTGGTCCTCCCCAGGCCACGGTGCCCACACAGCACCTTGGACCTACTGTCGCTGTTCTGGGTGCCCCAGGCCAGGTGTACACTGTCCCACTTCCCCGTCACCAGGGGGCTGGGCCCCACGCCGCCAGGTGTGGTCACCTGGAAGTGTCCCAGGTCACACGGATAGTGGAGGGGCAGGGCTTTGAACCCAGGGTCTGCTCCCGTACCCAAGGGCTAAACCTCAGGGTCACAAAGACTCAGCCACCAACCTCCCCCCTCCCAGAAAGGGAAGAAAGGAGGAAGGGGGACAGAGCCCCCAGCAGGGAGCCGCAGGGACGGGGGAGGAAGGGGAGGCCCGTGGGTCCCTGGGGGAGGCGGTGAGAGCCATGGGCCAGCCTGGGACAGTGCAGGGTCCGCCCTGGCTGGGGGACCCCAGCCCCTCCCTCCCACACCCCTGAAAGGAGGAGTCCAGGCGGGAACAGGCTCAGGCCCGGCTGCCTGGTTGTCCGGGGCGGAGGAGCTGGCCCACACCTGCACCCGGCCATGACAATGACAGCAGACAGACGTGGGAGCAACCTCTGCGGCTGGTGTCCCTGTGCCCCCCACCCAAGACCACACAGCCGTCCTGCAGGGGAGGGGAAGGAGCGCCCGTGGGTGGGGCCGCCTCCCAAGCCGGGGGCCTCACGGGGTTAGAGGGCCAGCTCCAGGAGCTGCCAAAGCCCTGGCCTGGCGGGGGTGGGGCTGCGGGGGCTGTGGGGGCGGGGGAGGGCGGGGGGGCTAGAATGCCCGGGCCTGCGAAAATTACAGCTGGGGGCTCAGGGGTCCCTGAGGACATCTCGTCGCTGGGCAAAGGCCCCCAGGGGGCCACTGAAGGAAGAGAGAGAATGAGATTGCTGTTCGGGGAGGGCTGGGAAGCTGAACGGCCCTCAGGGGACCTGGCCGCATCCCAAAGACAGTGTGGGGGGGGGGGGCACCGAGGCCGGAAAGGAGACAGGAGCGGAGGGAGCGGCAGGGCCGGGGCGGGAGTGCGAGGTCCACCCGCTCCTGCTCACCCCGGAACCAGGCCTGGGAGGGGCCCCGGTCACCTGGAGGAGAGGCGGGGCTGCGTTGGGCGAGGGCCACAGCCCTGTGCCTCAGTGTCCCGCTCCGTGAAATGGGCGCACTGGCAGCACTGATCCCGCAGGGCTGCCGTGAGGATCGGAGGGGAGAGCAACGCCGGCGTTCGGCCCTGCGCCCTCCGACCCCGCTTAAGCCCCGCGGCTGGAGGCAGGCGCAGGTCAGCCCGCCCAAAGGGGTCTCCGCAGGGCCCCCCCGCAGGGCCCCGCCCAAACTGGGGTCCCAGGGTCGGGCGTGTTTGAGGACCGAGTGTGCTCAGCAGGCCTGGCGGGGGGCGGGGCTGGCTAACGGCTCACAAAGTCCCTCACCGAGGCCACAATGTGGCCAGAACAAGGGCTCCCGAGACCGCTGGGACCGGGGCTGGGGTCCGTGGAGCTAGCTGCAGGAGCCCTGGGGCCACCGAGTGTCCCACGCCCCAGAGCCGAGCGTCACGGTGTCACCGGGCCTTGAGGCTGGTGTGGCTCCACGTGGCAGGGCCACACCACCGTCACGCGGCCACCTCAGCTAAGGGGCGGAAGGCTCAGCGGTGACCCAGAGGGGACACAACTCCTTCCGGGAGGCCACGGAAGAGTCCACGTCCCCACCCCACCCGCCTCTGCTGGGCCTTTCTCACGGGGTTCCTTGGGCGTTTCGGGGCTCAGGGCCACCCCGTCTCTCCCGCCCCAGCCCGTCACACGCTCCCCGATGCTGGCATCGCCCCCTGCTTGATGGCCCCAGGCTCCCGTGGTGTGTGGGGGGGGTTCTCGGGGCCATCCACCAGCTCGGTCACCTGCTGCCGACCCCCTTTCCCAACTCAGCTCCCCAAATTGAGGTCGCACCTCCTCTTCCCGGCCTCTCCCAGGGACCCCCAGGACGTCAGGCTTCACCGAGAGGCGCCTCCCAGTCCACCCCCCATCAGACGGCTCTCCCGGTCCCAGCCCCCCAGCTCCGCGTCCAAGGTGGTCTTGGTGAGTCTCCCTGGACACACACCAGGAAAGGCCCCGGACTTGGGCCAGCAGGGGTTAACCCCCAGCCCGACTCGCTGTGTGACCTCCACACTCTGCTCCCTCGGTCTCCCCGCCCTGCCCAGGACCAAGCCCGCAGGGACAGTGACCCGGCCAGCCCCTCGGGCCAGCTGCTGACAGGAGTGGGTTGAAATCCCGGGGTCTGGACCTCAGGCTGAGGGGGGGGGCCCCGGAAGCATTCCCGGGTCGGGGACTCCAGTTGTCTGGCAGGGTAGGGAGGGACATGGGAGTGGGTCCCACGGCCCTGTCACCAGGCAGGCGGGAGGTCACGGTCCCGCATACCAGGCTAATTGGGGTCTGGCAGAGCACGCTCCAGACAGCAGGCCCGGCTTTCCCAGCCTGTGCACCGACCCCACCCCCAACAGGCACCCCAGATCCACGCTGACCAAGCCCCGTCCCACCTGGGCCGTCCCAGGAGGCGGCAGACGGGGCCCCCTCCCAGCCCAGGGGCACCAGGGCGGCCGGGAGCTGCAGGCCTGGCCAGGTCCCACCCCCACCGAGGCCAGGGCACGGCAGGGGGGCAGCCAGCAGACGCGCACGCTCCAGGGGCCTGGGAGAGTGGCCGGCCGGCCACGTCAACAGCGACAGGGACCGCGTCCGCCCTAATCCAAACACGGGATGTGGAAACCGAGCCCCCGGCACACAGCGCCTCCCCGCAGGAATTGCCCAACGCGTCTGTTGCAACGGTTCTGAGCCCGGCGCCGGCCTCCAGACGCTGCCGGGCCGGCCCCCCACCCCGCCCCGCCCCGCCCCGGCCACCCCGGAGCTCCCGGGGCTTGGGGAGGGATGGCCCCAGAGCAGGGGCTGGGAGGCCAGGCCCCCCGGGCTACGGGGCGGATGGCGCCTCAGATGCAGGACTGGGCCAGCCCATTCCCCACGCCTGGGGTCGCCCGCTGGCCCCCGGGAGGCAGGGAGACCCACGCCCACGCCTGCACGAGGAGGCTCCCCACCCTCCCCCTCCTGGCGTGCAGGCGGCCCCGGGGAACCGAGTCAGTCTCAGACTTGCCCCTGCAGATGCAGCCTCAGCGCCTGGGGTGCCCCTGAGCCCCTGCTCCCGGCCAGGCTTCGGGTGTCCGGGCCTGGCCCCCGTCACACCCCACCCCCGACCTTCTCTGGGACAAAAGGCAGAACCAGCCGGATGCCTTTCACCGCCGTTCACCAGATCTCTCCTCTCCTCTACAGAATCCAATTTTCTTGTTGTTGTTGTTGAGCCACCATTTTACCAAGCACGTTAGGAAGTGCTGATGGGACGTGACCTCCTCTCTTCTCCCGGTCCCCCTGGAGTGAGTGTCATCACCCCATTTTCCAGGTGAGAAAACTGAGGCTCAGGGAGGTGACAGGACCCACCCCCAGACGCCGGTTCACCCCCTCCAGCATCCGTCCTCCCTGGTCTGAGCGAGAGCCCCGCCCTGCCCCACCCACACCTGGACCGGGCACAGGCAGGTCGCCCCGGGGCCAGGCACGGCCAGACGGAGCCCCCGGGGCCGGAGCCTCCCTGGGCCCCTGCGGAAGGGGAGCCCCTTTCGAAGAGACGGATCTGCAGGGACTCAGGAGAGCTGTCTGTGTGGAGGCACCTCCTTCCTGCAGCCCTTCAGCTGGGGGGCCACCTCGGAGGAGTGCCCACCCCTCCTAAGGGACCCCCAGGTCTCCACTCGTTCCCCTGGTGAGGGGCACACGATCCGGGCTGCCCCCAGGCCCTACACCTCAGAACGGAGCCCCCACCTCGCATGGGGTGCAGAACCCCCCTGGGGCTGCTCTCTGGGAAGGGGCCATGTGGCCTGGAGGGTAGGGGCCCTCTGAGCCCGGGCGCCCCAGCTGTAAACAGGACGGGCAGCTGCTCCCCCTCCGGGGTCTCCCCGGCCCTGCACCCCCAGATAACCAGCCCCGCCCCTTCTGCACACACGTGCCCCGCACTGGAGGGTCCGGGTCCTCCCTCCGGGGGGCCATGGCGTGGCTGACGTGCTCCCCGGCAGTGCTGGCCTCTGGCCCACCTCCCACTCAACCCTACCGTGGAACCCCAACCCGGAGCCAGAGCCCGCAGGAAGGCCCGGAGGCGAGCCCCCCGCCAGAGAGCCCTGCCGTCCGCTCCAGCCGCGCTGGGGGGGCCGCCCGGGGCTCCGACTGCCCCGTCCACGCCGGGCCCAGACCGCACGGAGCAACGCGGCTAGTTAAAAGTTTTATTGATTGAGCACAATTGAGTGTAAGTAGTAAAAGTTCTCCTGATGTAACCCACTTTTTCTTAATGGGTAATCTCAGACACTCAAGTTTGTATGTTAAAGGAGGTTTAGGACAATTTAATAGCTCATAAAATTTTATAGTCCCAGTTGAAATCAGAGTGATAACCCAGGCCTGCACAGCTATAGTTTGCTAAATGTCTCTCATCTATTTTTTCTCCTGTTTATTGGAAAGTTAACATCTGCTCTGCTATCGGGGGTGGGGGGCAGAAGGAAAATGATCTATTTTTCCAGAGGAGAGGTAAGAGGTTCGGGCTCTCCTGGCAGCCTCCTCTCCTCCAAACACACGACTTCCCTGTAAGTGGGAAGGGGGCTCAGGGCCGGGGCTGACCCGAGGTTCACCGCACAGCGCGCAGGCCCCGCGCCCCACGGCGGCTGCCGAGACAGGAGCATCTACCAGGGCCGGGCCCTGCCTTGGGATCAGCTCGGATCTGTCAGAGCTCACAACCAGGAAGTGTACAAAGCCCCTACTGTGTGCATGGTCGGGGCGAGGGGGCAGGACACAAAGAACTAGGACGCAAGCTCTCAGCTTCAGAAGCTAAAACCGTGCCGAGCTCTGCGCCCGGCACAGCGGCCAGAGGGCGCCGGGAAGAGTGGCCTTTCCACGGTGCCTGGGGGGGGCAAGCTGGGTCGGGGCTCCAGGGATGGGTGAGCTTTAGAGTCGGTGGAAGGGACAGAGAGCCCAGCGTCCTGGCTGCACCACTGACCAGCTGCAACCTGCCCTGGGGAGCCCAGTGTCCCGGTCTTTGCAGCGGGAATCACATCAGCCCGACATCCCAGGGCCGGCGTAAGGGTGAAATAACGTGCGGAAAGGCGGCCGGTATCCGGTGCTCAAAACGTGTCACTATAGAGACCTGGAGGGAAACCGTGCGGTGGGTTCTGAGAAAGTCAGACACAGAAGGTCCGTGTCACCCAGCACTACCGGCCCCAGGACACGTGCGCCCAGAAAGATTGAAAACTGGCAGCCAAGTACACACACACACGTGGCTGGAGCCCCATCATAGTGGTCAAAAGGTGCAAACAGGCCGGGCGCGGTGGCTCACGCCTGTAATCCTAGCACCCTGGGAGGCCGAGGCGGGTGGATCGCTCAAGGTCAGGAGTTTGAAACCAGCCTGACCAAGAGCGAGACCCTGTCTCTACTATAAATAGAAAGAAATTAATTGGCCAACTAATTTATATAGAGAGAAAAAATGAGCCGGGCATGGTGGCGCATGCCTGTAGTCCCAGCTACTCGGGAGGCTGAGGCAGCAGGATTGCTTGAGCCAGGAGTTTGAGGTTGCTGTGAGCTAGGCTGATGCCACGGCACTCACTCTAGCCTGGGCAACAAAGCCAGACTCTGTCTCAAAAAAAAAAAAAAAAGAAAAGAAAAAAAAAGAAAGGGGCAAACAGCCCAGAGCCACGTCCGTGGGCATGCAGTGGCAGCACGTGGTTGCCGTGCGGCGGGGTGTCACTGGCCACAGAAGGGAGGAGGCGCTGACACACGATACCCGTGGCGGACCTCGGGAACCCCACGCTCGGTGACGGAAGCCAGGCACAAAAGACCGCGTCGTAGGATCCCATTTACCTGAAACAACCAGCACGGGCAAATACTTAGGAGGCAGACTGGGGGTTTCCAGGGCTGGAGAGGGCACGGAGGAGGGGCCGCTCGCAGGGACGGGGGCTCCTTTTGGGGAGGTGACATGGTTTGGAACTCGACAGGTGGCGGTTGCACAGCACCGGGAGTGCACTAACTGCCACTGAATTGCATGCTTTAAAATGGATCGTTTTGTGCTGTGTGGATTTCACTTAAATGAAAACAATTTTTTTAACGGAGGAAATTCATGCAGACAAGCGTGACGCGTGAACTCCGCCCGCCGGGCCAGGCGCTCCACGCCGCCGCGCAGCCCCAGCTGCCGGCTCTCCCTCCGACACTGGCAGCCTGTGCCCAGGGGCGTGGCGGGAGGGACGGTGGCAGCAGGTGGGCACACCTGTGACGTGCCACGCACGGAGAGGCCGCCTCCTGGGGCCAAGGGGACGGCTAAAGTGAGCTGGAGACCGCTGGCGGACGGGTGTCACAGACAGCTAAGGGCAGCTGCAGGGACGAGCCCTCGGGCACACCGGCTGTGCGTGCCACAGAGCGCCTGCCACGCGCTGCATCCCACGGGAGAGAGTAGAGTCCCACCTGCCCAGCCCCGCTTCCCTCAGCTGCGCCTCCTCCTCTCCTGGCGTCCCGGCCCCCGTCCCTGCCCCAGGTGTGGGGCTGGTGACGCACGGCGCCCGCCACAGCCCTGCTACATTGGCCACTTGTGGGGTGGATGCCGGGCTCCTTTCCCCTGGCCCCTCGTGCCCCCCGAGTGCCCACGGGCTGGCCGCCGCCCAGCCTGGCCTCCTGGGCTTCTGCCCACCGCAGGAAACGGGTAAAAAGAGGCCGTGGGGACCTGAGTCCCGCTCCGTGGCGCGGCCGAGCGTGGTGAGGCGACGCCGTCGGCAGACTCCAGGGGCCCAGGCCCAGAGCAGGAGGGAGCCGCGCAGGCACCGCTGCCGGGACCTCGTGGGATCCCAGCTCGGGGAACTGCGACACGAAAGGCTCTCGCCCGCCGCACCTGTCCCGGGCCAGGCTGGCAGAAGCCGCAGTGCTGGGAGCCTCACCTGCGTGCTGAGGAATACGAAAGCCTTCACTTCACAAGCACCCCCGGGTGCGGTCACCCCGGGAAAGTAGAGAAGGAGCGCTACAGAAAAGTGTGTGCCATCCCGACCTCCTCGCAACGGCTCCTCTCCGACAGAGCCAGGGAGTTTTCAGAGCACCGGCCTTTCCCAGGGTGGGCCGGCCGCCTCTCCAAGCGGCAGGTTCAGGGGAGGTTTTTTTTGGGGGGGGGGGCGCGGGGATTTTAAATTTTTTAAAAAACATTTTTCTGGCCGGGCGCGGTGGCTCACGCCTGTGATCCTAGCACTCTGGGAGGCCGAGGTGGGCGGATCGATCAAGGTCAGGAGTTTGAGACCAGCCTGAGCAAGAGCGAGACCCTGTCTCTACTAAAAACAGGAAGAAATTAATTGGCCAAATAAAGGTCCCAGCTACTCGGGAGGCTGAGGCAGGAGGATCGCTTGAGCCCAGGAGTTGGAGGTTGCTGTGAGCTAGGCTGATGCCACGGCACTCACTCTAGCCCGGGCAACAGAGTGAGACTCTGTCTCAAAAAAAAAAAAAAAAAATTATTTTTATTAGAGGTGTTTTAGGTTCACAGCAAAACGAAGAGGAAGACACAGAGATGTACATACGGCGCTAGCGGCAGGTTCTCTCGGGTTCCTGAGGCCCTGGGGAGGACCCGGTGCTGAGGGACAGGGACGGTGGGGGGCCAGCCCCCAGCACCCCGCTCTCACACGCAGCTTGAACAGGGGACAAATGCCCCCATCACAAGCCGTGTTGCAGGGATGGCGGCCGGTCTCTGCCCGCCCCACCCCCGGCCCTGCCCCTCCTCCTTGCAGAGAGCTCCCCCATCAGGCGTCCGACTGCCGCCCGCAGAAGCCACCCCCAGGGACCCCCCGTCTCTCCCGCACCCCCCGATGCCCTCCCCAGAGCCTGGTGGCACCTAGCCACCTGTTCCTTGAATTGCCCGTTGGTTCCTGCCTCTCCCTTCACAGCGCGGCCCCCGCCCCGCCCCCACCCCGTGCATGGAGCCCACCCTGGGCAGGTGCAGGACGGCACCTGAGTGCTGGGACAGAGACACTCTTTCATCCCCACGTGAGTCGCAGCCCCGCCCCTTGTTCTTCTGTGACCTCGTGCGAGTCACTAGGCCCCCCGATGGCCAGGGTCACGCTGGCATTTGCAGACGGCGCTCGTCTGGCAGACGAGCGCCGTGGTGGCAGACGAGCGCCGTCTGCCACCACCGCCTGCCCACGGAGCCCAGGCATGAGACCGCTTCTTAGGGGGTCTCGGCACCCACCTAGGGGTTCATGAGAGAGGGGCCGCGGACGCTCCTGTCACTTGGTTCCCGGGGTCCCTCGGGAGAGGCCGGGAACGTGGACGCAAGTTCATTGTGGGAGCCGACACAGTCAGACTGCAGGCGAGCACGGGGCGGGGGGAGGTGGGTAATTGAATATCAGAGAGGAATGCTGGTCCCAAGTCAGCCGTTGCACGGCTCTCTCTCCCGTTTATGTTTTCTAAGAGATCCCCAAAATAAAAGAGTTCTGTTATTTTATGACTCGCAGATACACGTTACAGCCGTAACGTGTTACAGCCACGGTCACGGCACTCACGGAGCGGCCGCCGCACGCCGCAGAGCCCTCTCCCGCCGCCAAGGGTTTCTGCGCCCAGGGCCAGGGGCAGCCGCGTCCACGGGCCACCCCCTCCTCTGCTCCACTGCCTTCCAAAAGCCCTCCCCGGGCTGCGGGCATTCGCGCGACGCCCTTTCATCATGCTTGGGCTCTGCGCACTTTTCATTTCCAAGCCTGTTACTACAGATGCAAAATGAAAAATGAGCCAATAACCCGGAAAATCCGAGCGACTCGGCGCGGAATGCAATAACCGTGGTGAGGGGCCGGGCGGCGACTCCAGCCAGACGGATTAGGCGGCTCTGGGTGATGACAAAAGGGCACGGAAAGGTCTCGCCCTGCAGGGGACAGAGGGTCACAGCCCGAGTCCTGCCAGGGGCTCGGCCAGGAGACTTGGTTGCTCCGCTCCTTGGCTTCCAGGTCTGTAGAATGGGACCACGGGGGAACTGACCACCCGGCGCTGCCCTGAGGCTCTTTGGGAACCTGCCTGGAAAGTTCTGGAACAAGGGGAAGAGTCTAAGAATGTTAGTGCCCACCCTGTCTGTGAAATAGGCATAATCCTGGGACTTGAATGCCGGTCTTTGCAGAGGGAGCCCCGCAGGTGTGAAGACAGGTGTGAAGACAGGTGTGAAGACAGGTGTGAAGACAGGTGTGAAGGAGCACCTGTGTGGGGTGATGATTCCTCCCCGAGCACTGAAGCACGCCGCGCCACCTCAGATGCGGGCTGGCAGGCCCCGCGAGGGCCCAGGGTGCGATCCTGCCTGCACGGCAGAGTCCCAGGGCAGATTTCAAGACAGTCCCGTCCAGGCCCCACCCCAGAGACCTGGATTTTGCGGGCAGGTGTGGCCTGGGCAGGGGACAGTTAGAACCGGCCAGGTGAGTCCAGCAGGGCTGGCAGCTCCAGCCGGGCCGCCTGACACCCACCCCCCTCAGGGCACCTGGCTTCCGCCCCTCCCCCCAGGGCACCTGGCTCCCGCCCCCTGCAGCGGAAGGGGCTGGGGCTGCAGACCCGGGTGGGGCAGAGCCACCAGCACAGCACTCAGCCTGCGGGAGTCATCGACCACCCAGACGTGACCTCGTAGCTGCGCGTGGGACCAAGCTCACACCATGTGGAGCAGAGGAAGCCTCTGAGCCGAGTGCCCGGCAGGCCCTGCCCAGCCCCGTGGAGCCCCGACCCTTTCCGCGTAAACCTTGGGGGTTCCTTCACCGTGGGTATCTCGCACTGATTTTTGCATTCACTTCCATTCTTAAAAACGCTGCATTAAATAATACATAATTTTTCTTGACTTCGGGGTTTTTTGGAGCCTTGGACAAGCGTCCCCTCTCCTCACCCCAGGCCAGGCCAGGCCGCCCCAGCTGAGGGCTGCTGCCTACACTGACGGTCACAGGAGGTGACCCGCCAGGCCACAGGGGCGGGGGGGGGGTGGCACTCCCTGCTTCAGGCTCCTCAGGGTCCCCTATGGAAATAGTGGAATTCCAAGTGGCATTTGAGAAATTCGGGAAGGGCTGTTTTGGGTTGTCACAGCGACCCGCTGTCATCATGCGGGCCAGCGGAGACAGCACAGTCTGCCCCCCGTCCCGCCGGCCGTTCAGGTAAGTGACAAGCCCGTTTATAATTACCCAAGCGGACGCTCACAAGCCCTGAGGATCTTTTGCGTGTGTTCAATATTCACTGAGTTTTCCGGGAAAGCACCCAGGGCGTGAGCTGAGGGGCCAGCGTCACCACCAGGGAAAGTGACACCACCGCGCCCTGCAGGGGCTGGCCCCGAACACGGCACCAGGTCTGTGTCTGCAGCGGGGCCGGCGCGGGGACCCCGTGAGCCGGCAAGCCTCGGAG